GACTACAGGTACCCGCCACCACGCTCGACTAATTTTTGTATTTTTAGTAGGGGCAGGGGTTTCATCATGTTGGCCAGGCTGGTCTCAAACTCCTGACCTCAAGTGATCTGTCTGCCTCAGCCTCCCAAAGTGCTGGGATTACAGGCATAAGCCACCGCACCTGGCCTTTGGCTAGTTCTTATTTGAGTTTTTCCATCCTCCTGTGACCACCCAGTGCTGTTCCCATCTCAACATCATTCTGTTGGTATAGCATTCTTGAAATGACAAAATTTTACAAATGGAGAACAGATAAGTTGTTGCAGGAGCTAAAGAGGGGGTGTGATTGGAAGGAAGGGAGGGTGGCTACAACAGAGCACCATGGGGGATGCTGGTGCTGATTGACATGTTCTGTATCCTGACTGTATCATTGTCAATATCTTGGCTGTGATATTGTTTTGCAAGATGTTACCACTGGAGCATACTGGGTTAAGGGTACACAGGATCTCCCTGTATCATTTCATACAAATGGATGTGAATCTACAATTATTTAAAAGTGAAATTTAATTTATTAAGAAGGATCTTAGCAGTGATCCACACACAATGTAGGTTAGCTGTTACTACTGGGATGGAGAAGGGAAGAGGAAAAGAAAAGAAATAAATCACCTAAGGAACTGAGGCATCTACCTTATGTTTGTAGTGAATACAGATTTTCAAAAGCATGCCCCCCCAAAAGTGACTTTCCACCACATAACTTTCCTTTTTATCACTGAGTGGTGTTCCCCGGTACGTGTGCACTACCGTTTGTTTAACCAACCATTTGCCCAGTGAAGCACATCTAGGTTGTTTTGGTTTTGGCTGTTACAAATAAAGCTGCTATGGACATTCATGTCCATCTTTTGGAGTGAACATACATCTTCATTTCTCTGGGATACATGTCCAGGAGTGCGATTGGTGTGGTATTTTCCATTATCCCTTTAAATCTGTACAATAGGGCTAGCTCTCGCCCTGCACCTGGATGGGACCTCAGCCAGGCAGCCGCCATAACCTCTCTGATTGCTCTTAGGTAATAAACAACTAGTAGCTAGTTATGCAAGCAGCTGCATATCTGACTCTGCGTCCCCATTGTGCTTGATGAAGACCTAATCTAGTCCCATGCTGATAAACTAAATCAAATTCAGAGACTTCTGAGTCCTTTCATATGGAGAACTCGGACACAGTCAGAATAGTTTTTTCTCCTTTCGCCGCCTCCTCTTTAGAATGAACGCTGAACTTGGGGGACAGAGGGGTGCACAGAGGCAGTGGTGGGGAGAGATGGGGTGCTGTTTCTCCATCCCATCTTGGTTAGAGATTGTCTCCATCTTTATCTGGCCTCCTGCTCCTGGGAGAAGCTGGTCCTTGGCACTGGTGTTGCATGGGTTCCGTGGATAGTGCTTGCATGGACCCCAGGCATTGACTCAGTGCGTGCTAGCCCACTAGGGTGCTCATCCATGGTGTGGAACCACATCATCCACTGCTTCCCAGCAAGGCTGTCCCAGCCATGTCCTGACCAAACATGACTCAAGGTACAAAATCATAAAGCAGCTTTATTTTTATTTTCCACTATCCCTTTGAATCTGTTCTGTAGGGCTAGTTCTTCCCTTGCCCTTGGATGAGACCTCAGGCAGTCTTCATAATGTCTCTGGTTGCTCGTAGGTAATAAACAACTAGCAGCTAGTCATGCAGGCCCCTGTACACTACCTCTGTGTGATTCCTGTGTCACCACTTGCTCCCTAGGGGAGAGACTGGCTTATTTTCTGCTTGCCACAGTGTTTGCTGCTTTCTCAAAGTATGCTGAACCTTTGGCCTTGAGTTCCACAGCTTCACGACAGCCCATGGAGTGGGTAGCATCCATCCGAGCCCATGGCGTCACCCGTGGGACCTGAGGGCAGGGAAACCAGCACAGCTCTGCAGATATACATGCTGCTTGCTGCGCTTGGAGTGAGAAACTGTCTTGCTCTCATCCGTTGCCTGCTTTGGGCACCTCTAGAGCCATGGAAGGTTTATTCCTGGCTATCCTCAGTGAGCCTGGGGCTTTTCCCTAACACCCTGTCTACACCACACCAAAGGGAAGGAGCAGCTCCCTAGGAGAACCAACCCTCCTGAGCCATGCATGTTAGACTCACAGGACCCTGGTTCCAATCCCTCATGTGTGGTTTAGTCTTACCTGAGTATCTCTTTCTTTTTTTCCAACTTTTATCTTAAGTTCAGGGGTACACGTGCAGGATGTGCAGGTTTGTTACATAGGCAAACATGTGCCATGGTGGTTTGCTGCACAGAGCATCCCATCACCCAGGTATTAAGCCCATCCATCATCCATTAGCTATTCTTCCTGATGCTCTCCTCCTTCCCACCCCCGCCCTTTGACCCCACCCCAGTGTGTGTTTTTCCCCTCCATGTGCCCATGTGTTCTCATCACTTAGCTTCCACTTATCAGTGAGAATATGCAGTATTTGGTTTTCTCTTCCTGCGTTAGTTTGCTAAG